AGCCGCTTTCGTGCGGGTTTTATCGTCATAGTGATCGACTACTTGGACGACTACTACTACGACTCATCGACTCACCACTTCTCTGAAAACGCCCAAGTCCAAATCGTGCGGGTTTCTCAACGACCATTGCCAAGTACCCCCAAGTACCCTGCACTGGACACTTTGACGCCCGAATACGCCCGTTTCCTCGCGCCGTAAAACGCCGCTCGCCGTCCGCCGCGCCCCGCCGCCGCCGCCGGGACTCCCTCTGCTCGACCGACGCACAAACCCGCGCGCGCGCCCGTCGCCGCGCGCGTCCGCGAATGCGGCCTTTTCTCACGCCTTCGCGCGCGCGCCGCCGCGCCTCCTCGACGCCAAGCTTCCGTCGCGCCGCCCACGCCCCGCGACGACGCCGCGACGCGCCGCGACCCGTCGCGCCCGCGTTGCTCGCCGCCGAGGCCTCGCGGCACCGTGCCTGCACGCAGCAACTAAAAGCAGTTACGTCTCGCTGGGCCGCTCGCCCTTGCGCAGCCGCTCGACGAGGGAGCCGTCGTGGGCCCAGCCCAGGACGGTCCTCGCGGTGCGGACGATGTCGCCGTCGACGGTCGCGGCGCCGCGCGCGGCGTCGAGCGCGCGCCGCGCGGCGCCGTGGAGCGCGGCCCCGACGCCGGCGCCGAGGACCTCGCGCGCGTGGCGGTAGGTGAAGAGGTGGGGCTCGACGAGGAGGTCGACGAACTGCTCGAGGTCGCCGCCGTGGCGCGAGAAGTCGCCGTGGGCGCCGTCGTCGCGGAGCGCGCCGAGGAGGAACGCGCGCGCGACCTCCTCGGGCGCGTCGTCGTCGTCCTCGCGGAGGCGGTCCGGCGCGCGCGCGGGCCCGGTCCGCCGCGACCGCTCGCGCGCCGCCTCGTCGATGGTCTCCTCCTGCTCGCGGAGCCACGCGTCGGCGATCTCCGCGGCCGTGCGGCCGCCGGCCTTCTTGGCCGGCGCGGCGGCGGGCGCGTCGAAGGCGTCGGCGCCGCGGCGCGCCCCGCCGCCGGGGCGCGAGGCCCGAGTCGAAGGCGAGGACGTCGTCGTCGTCGTCGCCCGACGACGACGACGACGAGGGCCGCTTCGCGGCGCGGCGCGGCGCGATGGGCGCCGACGACGAGGACGACGACGACGACCGGTCCGACGAGCTCGGCGACGGCGACGGCGGCGGCGCGGGCGCCGCGGCGGCGACGAGGCGGGGCGCCGCGGCGGCCGCGCGCGCCGACGCCGCGAGTAAGACGTCGGCGCGCGGCGCGCCCGGCGCGGCGCCGGTCGCCGCGCGCGCGCGCGCCTCGACGCCGGCGACGTAGGCCTCCTCGTCCGCGGCCGCCGCGCGGCGCCGGTTCTCCGCGCCCGTGGTGGCCGCGGGCGGCGGCGGCCCCGCCGCGCGCTGCCGCGCGGCGACGGCGGCGCCGTTCTCGTAGGGCGACGGCGCCTCGGGCGACGGCGGCGCCTCCGGCGACGCCTCGGGCGGCGGCGGCGCCTCCGGCGATGCCTCGGGCGGCGACGCGGCGCGCTCCGCGGCGTCGCACGCCGCGAGCGCCGCGTCGTCAAAGTCGACGTCGAAGTCGTCGGGCGCCGCCGGCGCCGCGTCGCGCTCCGCGGCCTCGCAGGCCGCGAGGAGCGCGTCGTCGAAGTCGTCGGACGGCGCCGCGGCCGCGGCCTCGGCCTCGGCGAGGGCTTTGAGGCACGCCTCGTCGCCGTCCGAATCGTCGAGCGCCGCCGCCGGCGGATCCCGCGGCGCGCGCGGCGGCGCGGGCGCCGGCGGCGGGAGGCCCCGGAGCGAGGCGCTGCCCGCGGCCTGCGGCCGCCGCGGCGGCGCGCGGAACGCGCCGCGCGGCGGCGGCGCGGCCTCGTCGAGGAGGTCGTCGACGCAGTCGGCCTGCGTCGCCGACAGCGCCGCGCGCGGCGCCGCGGGCGGCGGGACCACGGGCGGCGCGAGGCGCTGGAGCGAGTCGAGGGGCGCCGCGCGCGGCGGCGGCGGCGGCGGCGGCGGCGGCGGCGCGGCGGCGCTCCCGCCGGCGCTCGAGTCGTCGTCGTCGTCGTCGTCGCCGGAGTCGAGCCACGCCTCGTCGTTGACGAGGTCGGCCGCGGTCGGCGGCGGCAGCACGCGCGACACGCGGATGGGCGCCGGCGCCGGCCGCTCCGCGGCGGGCGCCGGGGCGGCGCCGTAGGCCCGGCCGCCGAGCGCCGCGGCGGGCGCGGCGGGCGCGGCGGGCGCGGCGGGCGCCGGCGGCGCGAACTTGCGGCGGACGGCCGGCGCGCCGCGGCCCCGGCCGCCCGGCAGCGACCGCCGCCGCGGCGCCGCGGCCCGCGGCGGCGCCGCGGCGGCGGCGGCGGCGGCGTCGCGGGGCTGGACCATGGCCGTGATCGTCGTCCCCGGGAACTGGAGCTTGAGCTCCGACTCCTCGGTCCGCTCGCCGCCGAGCCAGCCGCGGCTCTGGAGCGCGAGGAGCTGCGCGCCGCCGAGCGCCGTCGACGCGATGGCTTCGCCGTCCTCGGAGACGAGCTTCGCGGCGGCGCCGGCGACGCGCAGCGCGCCGTCCTCCTTGCACCAGTTCTTCTCCTTCTTCGTATTCTTCAGCGTGTAGGTGCACTCGACCTCCATGCCCAAAACGGCGCGCCGCCGGGCGCGCGGCGTCCTTGCGACGTCTTTTTCAGTGGCTCAGCCGAGGCCGCGCCGCGAGGGCGCGAGGATCTCCATCACTCGAGTTTTTGAGCTCGGCACGATCTCTACAACTTGCAGGCCTACTTGCACCTCAGCGAGCGCTCCGAAGGCGACACAAACCCGCAGCCGTTACACGGCCCCGATGCGGAAGCCCGTGAGCGGGTTCACGGCCATGGGCCCGACGGCGCGCTGGACCGCGGCCTTGGCGGCGACGGAGCCCGAGAGGCCCGCGGCGCGGAGCGCGAAGCCGAGCTTGAAGCGGACGTCGGCGAAGACGCGCTCGTCGCTGAGGCCCGGGACGCCGCCGTCGGCGTAGGCGAGGCCCGTGCGACACGCGTCCGGGTCGGGCCGGTTGTCCGCGCGGTGCGCCTCCGCCGCGGCCGTCGTCTTCGAGAGGTCCGCGACGGCGGCCTGGATCGCGTCGTAGTAGGGCACGGACGCGGCGAGCTTCTCGAGGGCGAGGGCCCGGGCCGCGTCGGCGGCGGCGGCGCGGTCGAGGGCGACGGCGGCCTCGCGGCGCCGGTCGTCGCGGAGCGACGACCGGTACGAGCTCCGCTGTACGTTGCGCTTGAGCCGCGACGCCTTGCGGAGCTCGTCCGCGGCGCGGCGCCGCTCGGCCTCGCGCGCGGCCTCGGCGCGCGCGGCCGCCGTCGCGGCCTTGTAGGCGAGGACCGCGGCGCGCGCGGCCTCGCGGCGGACCGCCGCGGCCTCGGCGGCGCGGTCGGCCTCCGCGGCCGCGGCCTCGGCCGCGACCTCGCTCTCGTGCTGCGACAGCGAGTCGCGCCGCGCGCGGTCCGCGCGGAGCGCCGCGACGTCGTCGTGGAGCGCCCTCCGCCGCGCCTCGAGCTCCGCGCACTCGGCGTCGCGCGCGCGCCGCGCGCGCGCCTCGTCCGCCGCGCTCCGGAGCGCCGCCGCGCATCGCGCGGCGAAGGCGTCGCGCCAGGCTCTGCGCTCCTCGCGGGCCGCGCGGTCGCCGCGCGCGCGCGCGCGGCAGGCCTCGTGGCGGCCGACGTGCGCCTTAATCTCCTCGACGCGCTTCTCCGGCAGGCTCACGGAGAGGAGCTCGAGGGCCCGGGCCGCGGTCTTGCTCCCGCCGTCGCGGAGCGCGACGTGTTGGAGGAAGACGTCGTGGGACGCGTCGTCCCACGCGCCGCGCGCGTCGTCGCCGCCGCCGTCGCCGAGGCGCTCCAGCGCCTCGAAAAAGGCCGTGTCCCGCGCCTCCTTCGCCTCGGCCTCGGCCACGGCGCGCGCGGCCCACTCGGCCTCGAGCTCGGCGCGCGCGGCCTCGAGGTCCGCGTCGTCGGCGTCCGCGAGGAGCTCGCCCGCGAGGAGCTCCGAGAGCTCCGGCTCGGAGGCCCGGGCGTCGCGGAGGTTCCGCAGGAGCGGCGCCGTCGCCGCGGCGAGGTCCGCCGCGGCGTCCTCCGCGTCGCGCGCGAGCGCCGCGCCGCGCGCCTCGTGCGCGTCGCGCGCGCCGCAGAGCATCCGCCTGGGCAGGAAAAGAGAGATTCAACGTCGCTTCAACGTGAGTGTTCCGCGCGCGCGCGTTCCGCAAAAAGCATCCATGCTTCGAGGCCGTTCCAAGAGATGATCGCTCGTCCAAAAATCAGCCGAAACGAGTGGAAAACGGCCGAGATAGGAGCCTTTGAAGTTGGGAATTTCACACTCTTTTCCTGCCCTGGCGCCCGCGCGACGAGCGCGGTGGCCTCCGCGCGCGCGGCGCCCCGGGCGTCGCCGGGCTCCTCGGCGGCGGCGGCGGCGGCGGCGCCGAGGCAGGCCACCATGGCCCGCAGCTCGTCGAGCGCCGCGGCCGCCGCGCGCCGCGCGCCGTCGTCGGACTCGCCGCCGCCGCCGGGCTCGGCGAACGCGCGCGCGTCGCGGGACAGCGACGCCGCGGCGGCGCGCAGCGACGCCAGCTGCTCGACCCACTCCGCGCGGCAGGCCGCGAGCTTCGTGCTCTGGCGGTGCGCGCTCTTGTAGCTCGACAGCCGCGCGAAGGCGCCGGCGAAGCGCTCGTCGCCCTCGTCGCCGGCGGCGGACGCCGCGTCGAGCAGGGCCTGCGTCCCGCCGCGGGCGCGCAGCACGCGCTTCTTCGACCGCTGCACGGCGCTCAGCATCCCGGTTGGCCTACGGGACGACGAGGGGCTGGGCCATGCTGCCCAACGACTCCGATGTTTCTTGAAGGGTAAATGTCGGCCAGCACCGCACTTGTGGCTCGGCACGCCAGATCTCTGCTCTCTGAAGCCTCTGCGCCATGGTCTTCGCGCGCTGGTCGCTCGTCGCGTTGAGCGGCGCGCGCGCCGCCGGCGTCGTGCGGCCCGTGGTGGCCATGTCCGTCTTCAGCGCCGCCGGCGCCCTCTGGACCACGCGCTCGAAGGAGATCCCCTACGCCGAGCTGCCGGGCCTCCCCCAGTCCTTCGCCCTCGAGGCCGGGAAAAACGCGCTCGCGGGCACGACGCCCGTGAAGAGCGCCGACGGCTACGCCATCGCGACGTTCGCCGCGGGCTGCTTCTGGGGCGTCGAGCTCGAGTTCCAGCGGCTGCCCGGCGTCATCGCGACGAGCGTGGGCTACGTGCAGGGCCACAAGCAGAAGCCGACCTACGAGGAGGTGAGCGCCGCGACGTCCGGCCACACGGAGGCCGTGCAGTTGATCTACGACCCGGGCGTGATCTCCTACGCGCGGCTCTGCGAGGCGTTCTGGGCGCGCCTCGGCGACGGCGCCGTCCGTTACCAGCAGGTCGGCAACGACCGCGGGCCCCAGTACCGGTCGGGCATCTACACGACGACGTCGGCGCAGCTCGACGTCGCGCGGAAGTCGCTCGTCGACGCGCAGAAGAAGTTCGCCTCGCCCATCCAGACGGAGGTCGAGCCCATGCGCGGCGTCTACTGGCCCGCGGAGGCGTACCACCAGCGCTACCTCGAGCTCGGCGGCCGCTTCAACAGCCCCCAGTCCGCGGCCAAGGGCGACACGACGCCCATCCGCTGCTACGGGTGACGCCGGCTAACGCTGCACTCGATTACGCCTTCGATTTGCCACACGTTCTCCAAAGGTTGAAGCGAATTGCCACAACGTCTCGCCCTCTGTCCAATATGGTACTGGGCGGCAGCTCGTGAGCGTCGCCTCTGCCGGCTGCGCCGCGCCGCCTCGGTCGCACCGTCCGCCTCGATCGGCGGACCGACGCGCACCGATGTCCGAGCTCGCCGGCGCCAGCGAGGAGCGCAAGGACGAGGTCAAGGAGGACGGCGCCGCGACGACCACCGCGGCGGACGCCGCGGCGCGCGACGCGCGGCACGGCGCGGCGAACGAGGCCGAGGAGCGCGCCATCGCCGCGATGAAGGCCGGCGACTTCGCCGAGGGCCTGCGCCACCTCTGCGACGCGCGCGACGCCGTCGGCGACGAGGCGCCGGTTTCGGACGAGGACGTCGCCGCGCGCGCGGCGCTCGACGCGAACTCCGGCGCGTGCTGCGCGGCGCTGGGCTCCTACGGCATCGCGCGGCTGCACCTCGCGCGGTCCCTGAAGCTCGCCAGCGGCGGCGCGCGCGCGGCGCCCGCGCACCTCAACATGGGCCTCGCCGCGCTCCGCGACGGCTCGCCGGAGACCGCGCACCGCCACCTGCTCCACGCGTCGCTCTACTTCGGGGACCGGCCGCGGGTCTGGCTGCGCCTCGCCGAGTGCTGCGCGGCCATGCGGACCAAGGAGCGCGCGGCGACGAACGCGACGCCGCTCGCGGCCGCGGGGCCCTTCTCGAAGCCCGAGGCGGACGCGTTCGCGGCGACGCGGCGCGGCGCGGGCCGGCGGCCGAAGAGCCGCGCCGACGGGCTCGGCATGGGCCTCGTGCGCGCGTCCCTCTTCGCGCGCCACGCGCTGCGCCTCGAGCGCGACGGCGCCGTCGACCCCGGCGGCGACCGCGTCGAGAACATTTTTTACCACGGGGGGCGGGGCGACCGGGCGGGCGACGCCGGCGAGTCCGGCGGCGACGCGGGCGAGCGCGGCGATGGCGGCGGCGACTCCGGCGGCGACGCGGGCGACTCCGGCGACGCCGGCGGCGACGCCGCCGCCGGCGAGGACCCCTACGCGTTCGTCGTCGAGTCGCCGGGCGCGCCGGCGCCGGGCTTCTACAGCGACGTCGCCGCGTCGGCGGTCCTGCTTTTGAGCTGGATCCACCTCGAGCTCGACGACGTCGCGGTCTGCGCGGAAATCAACCGCCGGTTCGGGACGTCCCGACCGAACTTTGCGCATCGAAGTCGATTCGGCTGATTTTTGGACGGATCGATCGCTCCCGTCGAGTTCTCGAAGAACCGTTCGATGACGCGCCCATTGAAGTCGGGTTGAAGATTCGAGTTCCGCGCAGGTCGCGGTCGCGCTCGAGTGGGCCGACGCGTTCCTCGCGTGGCCGCGGCACACGGCGGCGGCGACGGAGCAGCGGCGGGACCTCGCGCGGCTCTACGCGACGGAGGCGCGCGGCGTGCTCGGGTACCGCCGCTGCGAGCGCGACGGCGTCGCGACGCCCGGCCGCGCGGGCGGCGCGCTCCGGCCCTGCGACGCGCTCAACTGCGCGGCCATCGTGCTGTCCCACGACAAGGGCGACGACGACGCGGCGCTCGCCAAGGCCATCGAGGCCGTCGACGCGGACCCGCGGAACCGGCCCGCCGTCGCGACCCTCGTCTGGCTCCTCCTGCGCCAGGACCGGGGCGACGACGCGGCCGACGTGCTCGCGCGCTGCCCCGCGGAGCAGTTTTAATAATTAAACAGGCCGCCCCTAGGAGACGATACACGCGCAGGACTTCTTGTCCGCGACCTTGGCCTCCGCGAGCTGCTCCCAGCGCGCGAGCGCGGGGAGGAGCTCCGACTTGTCGATGGCGCCGTCCGCGTTCAGGTCGCAGTCCTGGAGGATGAAGTCGACGTCCGCGTCCGCGACCTTGAGGTGGAGCACGACGCCGAAGGCGTCGCGGGCCTTGGAGCCCTTGAGCGAGTCCTCGAGGTTCTGCAGGCATCGTTTGATCTGCTCGCGCTCGAGCGCGCCGCTCTTGTTCGTGTCGAACTCCGCGAAGATGCGGTCGATGCGGTCCACGCGCTGGAGGTAGTAGCGGAACTTGCTCACGGCGGCCAGCACCGCGTCCTTCGGCAGCGCGACGGCGTCGTCGCCGCCGAACGCGACGCCCGCGGCGCCGTCGCCCGCGGGCGCGTCGCGCTTGCTCGGGGGCGCGGCCTTGCGCGCGTGGTTCAGCACCATGGTCATGCCGTCGTCGCGCACGTCGCTGCCCGTCACGCGCTGGAGCAGCTCGCGGAGCTGGGGCGCCGTGATCGTGGCCGTGCCGTCCGTGTCGAGCTCGTCGAAGACCTTGCCCGCGGCGAGGGCGTCCTCGACGGATCGCTGCTCCACGGTCTCCTTGCGATCTTTGGCAACCCCCCGGTGGGCCGCGACGTGCGCCAAGATGACGGGCATGGTCCGCGAGCGCTCAGGCGAGGACCATAACGCGTCTCGTCGTTAGTGATCGGGGCAGCGAGGTAAACATAAACTGCATCTTCGGCGTGAGACTCTGAGAGAGCTACGCTGGAGAGCTCCTTATGAGCGGCGCGCTGGCAGCATGACGTCGCACGAAGCGCCGTCGTCGTCGCGCGAGGCCGCGGCGCAGCGGTCGGCCGCGTTCCACTGCGGCGCCTTCGACGTGCCCGTCGTGTCGGCGGCGGAGCTCGTGGCCATGCGCAGCGCCGACGAGGGCAAGCGGCCGGTGGTGGTCGACGTGCGCAGCGCCGCCGAGAGAGTCGTCGCACGAATCCCCGAATCGCTGTCGCGCGACGAGTTCGAAGCGTCCGGCGATGAGTACGACGCGCGCGACGTCGTCGTCGCGTGCACCGTCGGCCGACGGTCGGGCGCGTACGCGGCCGCGCTGGCGAAACGACGCGGCGGCAGGGTGTTGAACTCCACGGGAATTTGTTGCTATTCGCACCACGCCGACGCCCACGGATCCGGGCCCCACGCGCTCGTCGACGCGGCGGGCGCGCCCGCGACGAGGATCCACGTCTACGCGCGGCCCTGGGACTTCGCGTCCGAGCGGTTCGAGGCCGTGAAGTTCGGGCCCCTCGGCGCCTTCATGGCGGCCTGGCGGCGGTAATGGGTTGTGTGGTGCCAGTGCATGGGATTGAGGCCTGATTTGCCACTCGATTCGCCCCCCCGGCCAGCTGGCTTGTGGAAGACTCGCGAGGGCTCGACCGCTCTCGGGCCTTCACGATGGCCTCTGGCTCTGCCTAATCGCGCGCTCTGTGTGGTATCACCGCACGCGCCGCGGGTGTATCGCCGAGAGCCGGGCGGACCGCGCCCGGCGACCCGCGCGCACCGCCGGGCGCGGTCGCGCCGTCCCGTGGGACCGCCGCGGCCGCCGCGGCCGGAGGATCTCTCCCGCGGCCTGTCCGCGGCCGGCGCGCGCGCCGTCCCTCCGGCGGCCATGAACGGGACGCTCAACGGCGGCCTGAACGGGGCCAACGGCCACGAGGCCAACGGCGCCGCGGCGGCGAGCCCGGGCTTCGCGTCGCCGCCGCGGCGGAAGCGGCGCCGCTTCGGCGGCGCGGCCGCCGCGCGCGACGCGGTGGGCCTCGTGAACCTGGGGAACACGTGCTACATGAACTCGGTGCTCCAGGCGCTGGTCCACGTGCCCCCGCTGCGCGACTTCTTCGTCGCGGCGGCCGACGACGGCGGCGCGCGGCGGCGCGGCGAGTCGTTCGACTCGCAGGCGTCACGCGCGTCGTACGAGGGCGGCGCCGCGCGCGTCTCCACCGGCCCCGCGCCGCCGCCGGCCGAGCCCCGCGCGTGGGCCGCGACGCCGATGGGCGGCGGCGGCTTCTTCCCCGCGGAGCCCGCGGGCGGCGGCGCGGCGCTCGTCGAGGCCGCGGGCACGCCGCCGCGGCCCGCGGCGGCCGCGCCGGCGCCGCCGGCGACGCCGGGCCGCGACGGCGCGGCCCGCGGCACGCCGCCGCGGCGGCCGCTCGGCCCCGCGCGGCGCTGCGAGAACGTCGACGGCGGCGACGGCGGCCGCGCGTCGCTCTTCGCGCCGGCGAGCCCCGAGCACGGGCGGGGCGTCTGGCGGTCGCCGGCGCGGCCCCAGGGCTTCCTCGCCGGCGCGCCGCTGTCGCCGCCGCCGCCGCCGCGGCCCGAGGCGCCCTACGCGGCGCGCCTCGCGCGGTCCAACTCCATGGGCTCCGGCGGCGCGGTGAGCGACGCCTTCTCGGGCCTCGCCGAGGAGCTCACGGCGGGCCGCACGTCGGCCTTCGCCGTGCGGCCGTCGGACATGAAGCGCATCATGGCCAAGTGGCGCTCCGACTTCGCGGGCTACTCGCGGGGCAGGACAAGGGTGCGACATTCCCAACTTCAAAGGCTCCTATCTCGGCCGTTTTCCACTCGTTTCGGCTGATTTTTGGACGAGCGATCATCCCTCGGAACGGTCTCGGATCGTGGACGCTTTTTCTGGAGCGCGCGCGCGCGGAACACCCACGTTGAAGCGACGTTGAATCACCCTTTTCCTCCTCCGCAGGCTACTCGCAGCACGACGCGCACGAGTTCCTCGCGGCGCTCCTCGACGGCCTGCACGAGGACCTGAACCTGCCCCGCGAGCGCACGCGCGCGCGCGCCAAGGCGCGCCAGCGCCGCGAGGAGCGGCGCGCGCGGCGCGACGCGCGCGACGCGGCGGCCGCGGCCGCGGCGGCGATGCGGGACGAGGCGCTCCGCGACGCGGCCGCGCGGCGCGCGGCCGACGGCGACGCCGACGCCGACGACGTCCGCGAGGCCGCGGCCCTGCTCTGCGGCGGCCTGCCGCCCGCGGGCGACGCGGCCGGCGGCCCGCCGCCGCCGCCGCCGACCGTGGGCCCCGCGCCGGCGCCGGCGCCGGAGCCGGAGCCCGTCGCGGACACGGACGACGACGGCGAGCCGTCGTCGGGCGACGAGGCCCAGGCGCCCCCCCACGAGGGCCCCGCGAGCCGCGTCGAGGAGCTGCTCGGGGGCCGCTTCGTCTCGGAGCTCCGGTGCCCGCGGTGCGACCACAGCAGCACGACGCACGAGTCCTTCGTGTGCGTGTCGCTGCCCCTGCGGCGGTCCGCGGGCGCGCCGCCGCCGCGGCGCATGGCCGTGCGCCTCGAGCTGACGACGCCGACGCCCGCGACGTCCTTCGAGAGCGTGCTCGTCGCGCCCGGCGCGCCCGCGTCGGAGATCCTCCACGAGGTCGCGCTCGCGCGGCCGGGCGTCGACTGGACGCGCCTCGTGCTCACCGAGGTCTGGCACCACAAGATCCACAAGGTCTTCGTGCTCAGCGAGCCCGTCGACGAGATCGCGCAGGCCGACGAGTTGGTGGCCTACGAGGTCGACGAGCCGTCCGCGTTCCTGCCCTGGACGGCGACGCAGCCCGTGTGGCGCCGGCCCCTGGCGTCGGGGACCTTCGGGGACCTGGGGTTCGACGCCCTGGACGCGCCGGGCGGCGCCTTCGGGCCCTTTGGGGTCGGCGCGACGTTCTACGGCGAGTACTACTGCTCCAAGGAGGCGCGCGCGTGCCGCTTCGAGGTCGTCGGCCTCGAGGAGCTCGAGGACAAGCCCGACGACGAGCGGTCCTGCTCCCTCACGGACGACGACGACGACGACCGGCACAGCGACGGGCCCGCGGCGGCGGCGCCGCCGCCGCCGCCGTCGGCGTGGGTCCGCGTCGTCTTCGACTTCGTGTCCGGCACGGGCGCGCAGGGCTCCTACGTCCTCGAGGGCCGCTTCGACGGCGCGTCGCGGACGGCGCGCCTGGGGCCGGAGAAGTGGATCGAGAAGCCGAACAAGAACAGCATCACGATGGTCGCGATGACGCTCCGCGCCGCGGGCGCGCCGCGCGGCGGCGCCGCGGGGCCCGAGCGGCTCTGGGGCAACGTCGAGCAGTGCGGCCACGTCATCGCCTGGCCCGCGGGCGCGCGGCGCGACCCCAACGAGGAGCGCTTGTTCGAGCCCTGGCCGGGCGACGAGCCCGGCGGCGACGACGACTCGCGGATCTCGTCCGCGTCGTCCGCGTCCGCGTCCGCGTCGTCGGACCCGTCGCTGCCCCGGCGGCCGCGGCGCGACGCGTCGCCCGCGTCCTACTTCGACGGCGGCGGGCCGACCATGTCCTTAGCCGACGTCGGCGCGCCGCCGCGGCCGCGGAATCGCGCGCCGCGGAGCGGCGACCACGTCGGCGTCGTCGTCTACCACCGCGTCGACGACGACGACCTCGCCTACCACCACCGCCGCGGCGGGTTGCGGGGCGTGCCGACGCTGCGGTCCGTGCCCCGGGAGCCCGAGCCGGGGGCCTACCTGCGCCTCTACGAGACGTTCGCGCCCGCGGGCGAGCCCTACGACGCGCGCGCGCACCGGCCGCCCCGCCGGGAGCCGCCCTACGGCCGCCACGCCGTCGACGCGCGGCGCCAGACCGTCCACTACGGCCGCGACGTCCAGCAGCGCCGCGGCGCCTACGAGCACCCGCGCGCGTACACGCAGCGGCCGCTAACGGCCGCGGCGGCGCTCGGCCCCGCGGCGCCGCGGCCCCGCTGCGAGCACCCCCACAGCGCCGCGCGGCGGGCCTACGGCGACCCGCGGCGGCCCCGGGCCTACGAAAACCAGCCCCGCGTGCGGCGCCACCCGGACCACTACCAGTCCGCGGACGACGACGACGACGACTACTCGGACGCCGCGTCGCGCGACGACGACGGCGAGGAGCCCTTCGGCGCCTACCTCGAGGCGGAGCGGGCGCGGGACGCCTCGCGGGGCCGCCGCCGGTCCGCGACGCCCGACGGCGACGACGACGACCACGGCGAGTCCTTCCCCGCCGCGGCCGACGACGCGCGCTCCGGCGACGACGGCGGCCCGCGCCGCGACGACGGCTACGCGGACTACGACGACCGCTACGGCGACGTCCAGCGGCCGGGCCTGCGGGGCGGCGCGGCCGAGACGGCGCCTACGACGACGGCCGCGACGACGACGGCGACGACCGCCGCGACGACCTCGCGGGCTTCGCGGACGCCGCGGACCAGTTCGGCGCCTACGACGGCGACGAGGACGACGGCCTCCTGCCGCGCCAGCGGCCCCGGCGCGAGAAGCGGCGCACGGCGAAGCGCCTCGCGACGGCCGGCGTCGCGCGCGGCGAGGGCCGCGCGGACGCGTACGCGCGCGACGGCGACGGCCCCGGGTCGCCGCCGGCGACGACGCGCAAGCGCGACCGGGGCCACGGCCGCCGCTGGGACGACGACGCGTCCTCCGGCGACTCCGTCGCGGGCGGGCCCGCGACGGACGACGGCGCCGCGCGGAGCCCGCGGCAGCTCCGCGTCTACAACGGCGCGGCGCGCAAGCGGCGCACGCAGGCCTTCGCGTCGCCCTACGACCGCCGCGGCGCGCAGCCCCGGCGGCCGCCCGTCGTCTTCTTCCGCTGCGACGCGCAGGCGCGGTTCCGCGCCGAGGACCGCATGCGCGCGCCCGCCTCGCGCCGCGACGGCGGCGGCGACGACGACGACGACGACCTCGTCGAGCCCCTCGCCGGCGGCCTGCCGCGCTGGGGCCTCGAGCCCGAGCGGCGCCGCGGCGACGCGCCCGCGGGGCCGCGCGTCGAGCACGTCCTCGCGCAGTGGCGCGACGGAGCCGACTGCCAGCGCGCCGCGGGCCAGGACGACGGCCACGACCGGCTCGCGGCGCTGGCGCGCGCCGCGGCGCCGGCGCCGGGCGAGACGCTGACCCTGGACCGGCTCCTCAAGCTCTTCAGCGGCCGCGAGCGCCTCGACGCCGACGACGCGTGGGCGTGCCCGACGTGCGAGGCGCGCGTCCGCGCGGTGAAGCAGCTGCGCCTCGCCGCGTCGCCGCCCGTGCTCGTCGTCCACCTCAAGCGCTTCGAGATGCTCGGCTACCACTCCGCCAAGCTCGAGACCTGCGTCGCCGTCCACGCGACGGCGCCCGTCGACGTCGGCCGCTTCATCGACGGCGACGGCGACGGCGCGACCTACTACCTCTGCGCCGTCGTCAACCACTACGGCACCATCGAGTTCGGCCACTACACGGCCTACGTGACGCGCCCCGCGTCTTCTTTTTTGTTTTTTCTTTTCTTCCGACGCGTCCCTCTCCTTTAGGCCCGGTCGCGCGACGACGCGCGGTGGCGCCTCTTCAACGACAGCTCCGTCTCCGTCGTCGAGGACGACGAGGTCTCCGCGCCGTCGCGCGCGGCCTACATCCTCTTCTTCCTCCGCGAGGACATCGCGCCACCGGACTGGGTCCGGCGCGCGAAGGACGGCGCCGCGCGCGAGGCGCCGCCGCCCGCGACCATCCACGAGTGAGCGCGCGCCCCCAGACACCACCCCCCGAGTAGCTCCCCTCGACTGTGTGTGTGCGGCGTTAGGGGCGCGTTAGGGGCGGCGGGCTTCGCGCGCGTCGACCGTCGTTCACTCCTCGTCGGAGATCTCCACGTCGTCCTCGTAGAGGACCGGCGTCTCCTCGACCTCGACGTGCTCCACGGCGTCCATGACGTCCTCGGGGACGTCCTCGGGGACGGCGTCGTCGGGGACGGCGCCGCCGCGCGGCGGCTCGTCGAAGGTGCCGAGGTCCTCCGGCTCCGTCTGTCCGCTCTGGAGGCCGAGGGCCACGTAGACGCCGAAGGCGACGCCGCCGAGTCCGGCGGCCATGAATAACTTCTTGGGGGAGAGCACGAGGCCGAAGAGCGTGGACACCGCGGACGCGAGGACCCAGACGACCTTGACGACGGCGTCGCGGACGAACTTGAAGAGGCCGCCCTTGCTCGCGCCGCCGGTCGTCGACAGGGCCGTGTGCGCGGGCTCGTCGTCCGGCCCGCCGCGTCCGCCGCCGCCGCCGCCGCCGCCGCCATACGAGACGCGGTCGAAGGCGTAGCGGGCGACCCCAGCGCCGGCGACCGGGGAGGCCTTGTGTTTGCGCAGGGCGCAGAGCGGGCGGTCGACGGGCGCGAGCGCCGCGGCGACGCCTGCGACGAGCGCGAACGGGAGGGAGCGCATGGTTCGAGTGGTCGTCGCGCACAGGTGACGCGTGGACGGGTCGCCGGCGACCGGAGATTTTTGAAGCGATTCCTCGAGCAGAGCCAGCCCACGCCTGCGAAGACACATCCGACCAAGGACAGACATGGTTTACACGGCCACGGCCTTCGCGACGGGCACGCGCGCGGACTGGTTGACGGGGGTCGCCTCGGCGTGCGGCGAGGCGGGGTCGGGCTGGGACTGGGCCGCGGCCGCGAAAGAGCCCGCGAAGGAGCCCAGGAGGCCGCCGAGCGTCGACGTCGCGTCCGCGAGCTTGTTGAGCCACGGCGGCGGCGGCGCGGCGCCGAGCGCGGACGCGAGGGCCGACGCGTAGTGGTTGCAGTTCCGCCGCAGCAGGTCGTGCGACGCGGCCGGGAATTCTTCCGCTAGCCGCTTGAGCTTTCGCGCGAGCTCCTTGGGCGTCAGCTCGACGGCGCCGAGGCTGATCGTCTCCCTGAAGACCGCCGACGCGTACGCCTCCGGGTGCTGTTTCGGCGGCTGCGACCGCGGGCCGCCCTCGCCGAAGCAGTACTCGACGCCGCCGACCTCCACGCCGGAGATGAACACGCCCGCGCCGCCGCCGAGCATGCCCATGAGACCGTTCACGCCCGCCGGAGCGTAGTCGTACACATGCAGCAGGACCTCGTACTCGCGCCGCTTCGCCGCCGACGCGGCGCCGCCCATGGACGCCGAACGACGCGCTGGACGCCGTGCTGGGGATGCTGGGGCAGCCTCTTGCGAGTAAGTTGAGCCTCACCTTCACCTTGAACACTCTCTCAAATCGATACAGCTGTAAACGGAGCATGGGCGCGCACTAAAAAGGGCAGCGACCGCCGACGATGAAGCGCCTCGCGCTGCTCCTCTGGGTCGCCCTCGCCTCCGGCGCCGCCGGCGACGAGGGCGCCGAGGAGGCCGACGAAAACGAGCCGGACGACGACATCGACTACTGGGCGCGGGCCGTCGTCGCGGACCCGGGCCAGCTGCGCTGCGGGTCCGCCGAGTTCTACGACACCATCGACATGCGCTGCGCGCCCTGCGCCGACATGGGCGACGACGCGCTCGTCGGCGACGGCCGCTACGCGGACGGCGCGGGCAACGCGCTCCGGTGCCGGTGCCCCGTCGGCTCGCGGCTGTTTTCGCTCGCCGAGGGCTGCGACGTCGACGGCCGGTGCGGCGCGCTGCGCTGCCTCCCCTGCGCCGAGACGAGCGCGAGCGACAACTCGGTGTGTCTCGCGTGCGACAACGCGACGACGACGGGCGTCGACGCGGCGACGGGCGACTGCGGCTGCGGCGGCCACCAGCGCCTCGTCGAGCGCGACTTCGGCGGCGCGCTCCTCGACGCCAAGACCTGCGTCGCCTGCGCGCCGGGGCTCTTCGTCACCAAGGGCGGCGGCGTCTTCGGGGGCGTCGCCTACGACGGCGACCGCTACGCGTGCCGGCGGTGCCCGGACCCGCGGATGGCCTACAGCGCGACCGACGGCGCCTGCGAGTGCCCCGCGCCCTACGAGCTCGCCGGCGTCGAATCCGTCGGCGCCCAGACCTGCGTCGACGCGGCCCAGCTCGGGCTGACCTACGCGGCGTACCCCGAGGCCGCCGCGGTCCGCGTGCCCTACCGCAACGTCCAGTCCAAGCCCAACGGCGACGCCGACGGCGTCGCGACCGTCGCGTCCGAGACCTTCCGCCACTACTACGGCGCCGCGGCCGCCGGGTGCCTCTACTACGACGGCACGGCCGCGGCCGCGCGGAAGTGCCAGGCGCTCGCGAACCTCTGCGCTTTGACGCAGTACGACCTCGGCTCGACGCCCTGCCGCTTGTACGACGACCTCGCGTCGCTGCGGGCGACGCGCAACACCTGGGGCGCCAAGGACCACCTGCCCTGGCTCTTCTACGACCGCGACGGCGACGCGGTGCGCTCCGACGGCGCGCTCCAGATGGAGATGGCCTTCACGTCCAAGGACCGCGGCCGCGACCACAAGCTGCGGTTCCGCCTGGCCAAGTACGCCCTCGGCGGCGACTTCCTCGGCTACGAGGAGCTGAACACGCAGCTCTTCTACTGCGAGGCGCCCGCGCCGAGCACGGGCTCCGGCGGCGGCGCGGCCAAGGACACGAGCTGGGTCCGCTACGGCTACTCCCTGCGGGACCACTTCACCTGCGACCTCCGGTCGCTCTGGGCCCGGGAGCAGGTCCTCTACGACCTCTACCTCGTGGACACGGAGGGCCTCTGCGATGGCGCGGAGGCCGCCGCGGTGGCGGACGACGGCGCGGAGCGGACGGAGTGCCTCTACCCCGTGCCCGTGTTGAACAAGGGCCTGAAGAACCGCGACGGCAAGGGCGTGAACAAGAACGGCAAGACCGAGGACGGCGACGACGACATCTTCGTGCGGCGCTTCGCGCTCTTCGACGTCGCTTCCGGCGTCGACGACGAGGCCGAGGTCTACGGGTCGCCCGCGATGACGCGCTTTCTCGTCGAGGCGAAGCTCCACGTCATCGGCAAGACGAAGAACCCGGAGCGCTTCTTCGTGCCCTACCTCGAGCTCAAGTACCGCGAGCGGTCGCGCGCGGACATCCTGGGCAGCGAGGGCATGCGCGAGACCGAGGTCGACGTCGAGGTCGAGTACTCGAAGAGCTCGCGGCCCTTCTGGCGCGTCGCCGACGGTTTTGCGTATTTTCTGCTGGCCGTCGTGGGCCTGACCTGGCTCCACGCGTGCCGCCACTGGCAGCTCCGGCACTACGCGGTCGACTCGGCGAACCTGCCGACGGGCGGCTTCACGGTCGCGTACCTCGTCAACGTCATCGTGCTTTTGGGGCGCATCGGCGTGCACATCTTTTTTCCCTTCGTGTTCATCCTGTGCTCCTATTATTTCGTGTTCTTCAAGCTCCAGGAGGCCGCGTACACGCTGCTGCCCGCGGAGAACCGCCACGACGGCAAGGACTTCGAGTACTACCCCGTGCGCACGGCGATCATCTCCATGTGGGCCTTCCAGACGGCCGTCGTGCTGCAGATCGTCGTGCGCATGTGCCAGATGGAGATTTTCTTCGTGGACTGGGAGCCGCCGCGGAAGCCCGACGTCGGGAAAGCGGCGCCCGTGTCCGTCTGGCGGACCATCTTCGTCGCGAACGAGTTCTCGGAGATGATGACGGCGCGGCGCACGTCGACGCACTTCGTGCTCTTCTGCCTGGGCTTCTTCCTCGTCGCCATGGGCCTCGAGAACAACGCGACGCCGCAGCCGGATCTGGGGGATTTGACCGCGGGCCACCGGAACATCGCCCTGCGCTTCGCGAACACGACGTGGTGGTGGCTCATCCTCGCCTTCGGCCAGTGGCTCTGGAACTTCTACGTCTACGAGCGCTTCATCTCGGAGCCCGTCGCGCAGTCGTTCGTCGACGTCTGCACCGTCGCGAAAGTCTCCGTCGTCGTCTTCGACAGCGAGTACCACGGCTGGTACATCCACGGCGACGCGTCCTACGAGCACGCCGACGACACCATGGCGGCGCTCACGGACCACCTGCTCCACGAGGCGTCCGCGGGCCACGCGCAGCGCGGCCTCGAGCCGACGCTGCCGAACGTGACCGTGTTCCAGATGTGGCTCACGCCCCAGTTCCGCCGCGCGTGGCGGTCCGTGCAGCACAAGGTGAGGCAGTCGGCCCTGGACGTCTTCGACCCGGAGGAGGAGCGCCGCGACCGCGAGGCCGAGCGTGCCGCGGCGCGCGCGGACGCGCGGGACCCGTCGCGGCCCGCGCGGCGGAGCCGGCGGCGGTCCGCCGCGGTCCGCGCGTCGCTGCCGCCGCCGGCGCTCGGCGAGGCGAAGCTCGGGAGCCGCAGCCTCTTCGGCGGCGGGCGGTCGGAGTCGCTCGCGAGCCGCATGCGCAAGTCGCACGCGGCGGAGAAGATCGCCGTGTTCCTCAAGACGTTCCTCGGCCACGGCTACAAGGACAAGTTCGCGCTCGACTGGGTCGCCAAGGAGACGAACCTCCTGGAGCGGCTCACCTACGCGACGCCCCAGCGGACGACGCCCCACGTCATCCTCCAGCCCGACCGCACGTGGTTCCTCGGCGACGACTCGTGGACCGCGATCACGTTCCTCGGCCACGACTGGGAGATCCTCATGCAGGAGATCCTCACCTTCGCCGTCGCCGACATCTGGTTCCGCTCCACGTCCCTCTCCATCTTCCTCACCTTCCTCCTCCACCACGCCATCCGCCTCCTCTGCGCGTCCTACTGCGAGGCCAACATCGCCGACTCGTCCTACGTCGACCAGCGCTTCCTCCTCTAGGCCGCGGGCCTAAGCGCGCCTCACGCCAGCGCGGCCGCGATCGCGCCGGCGACGACGGCGGCCTGCGCGTTCATCCCGGCGTCGTTGTAGTGGAAGCTGCACGGGTGCGCGCGGCACACGTCGCAGTCGGTGTACACGGCGCCGCAGTGGTCCGTGACCGTCGCGTAGAGGTCGACGACGTCGACGCCGTAGGGCTCCATGATCTCGAGCGCGATGTCGTTCATGTCCTCGACGACCGTGTTCCCCGCCGCGCGCAGCGGCATGTAGGGCGTCGTCGTGAAGTAGACGAGCTTCGCGCCGAGCGCCGCGAGCCGCGCCGTGACGTTCGCGAGCTGGGACGCGTAGAGGCCCTCGCAGCGGGACGAGTTCGTCATGTCGTGGAGCCCGAAGTTGAACGTGATCACGTCCCACTTCACGGGCACCATGGCCTGCGTCACGAGCCAGCGGTCGAGGCACGCGACGCCCGTCGCCGCGTCGCCGGCGCCGCCGTCGGACACGTCCCAGGGCCCGTGCTGGACCTGCGCGACGTCGAAGAGCAAGGCTTCGACGTTCTTCGTCGCGAGCGTCGTGTAGCCGATGCTCACGGAGTCGCCGATGATGAGGACGTTCTTTTTGGTCGCGTGCGGCGGCTTTTCCGGGCCCATCTTGCAGCAGACGGACGTCGCGTTCGCCGGCCCGAGGCCGTCGCCGCAGCCCGCGGACCGCGCCGGGAGGTCGCCGACGTCGACCGTGCAGCCGAAGTGGGACGGCGAGTAGGCCGACGCGCAGCAGTCCTCCGGCCGCGGGCACATCGACAAGGAGCTGTTGCAGTAGGCCTTGGACTCAGCAACGCCTACGAGGGCGAGCAGGACGAGCTTCGGGGCAGCCATGGCGCTTCCTTCTGGCGTCAACGTTTCAACATTTCCGTCAACTCAATCGACGGCGAGATGTTGTCGCGCGCTCGACGTGGACAGCCCGACCAAGACGACGGACGCTCCCGACCAAGTTCGTCGAGTACGCGCCGCCGCAGCACCGCTCCCGACGCCGAGTTCGTCGAACCGCGCCGCCGCAACACGCGCCATGGCCGCGCCGCAGGAGGCGCAGCAAGCTCTTGACGGCGAGGCCTTCGACGAAGAGGTGCCGAAGCTGCCGCTGTACATAGCCTTCGGCCTGATCTTTGGCGTCGCGCCCATGCTGCCGCACTCCTACAACAAGGACCTCGTCTGGCTCGTGTCGACGATCTACAAACGCGTCGGCCCGGGCGGCCTCTTGGCGATCCCCTTTTGCACGCTGACGATGGAGAAGGTCGCCTACGACACGTACACGGCCTACTGGGGGAAGAGCATCTACGAGGACGCGGCGGCCGCGGCGAAGAAGCCCGTGCCGCAGTTCCCGTCGGGCGGGAGCCAGCTGCCGAGCTTCTCCGTCATCGAGACGCGCAAGTTCTCTTCGGACCACGTCGTCTTCCGCAGCGCCTACGTCGAGGCCGCGCGCGCGTGCCTCTCCTCCTCCCTATTCCCGGGAAGCGCGGCGCCCCTCGCGCGGCGAGAGACGAAGCAGTAACGATGTGGGAAATAGACGTCCACGTCGCGCGTGGACGGCGGTGCAGCCCGGGGAGACTTAGCTCCGTAGGAAGCGGAAATGGACGTCCACGTCGCGCTTAGCTCCATAGGAAGCCGACGCGGCGCGCGGCGACGGTTACGGCGCGCATCGTGGCGTACTCGATGACGAGGGCCACGGCGCCGGTGCCGACGGCGAGCTGGAGGTGGAAGCCCATGCCGTCCCAGGCGCCGCCGAAGACGAACGGCATGACGACGGCGAAGGCCTCGCAGAGCACGTACACCTGCATCCAGACGAGTGCGCAGAGCCGCAGGCGCTGCCGCGCGCCGGTCGCCGGCGGCAGGTCGAAGACGGGGATCGCGTCCTGGGACTGGAGCGCGACCGGGCGGAGCGCGACCGGGCGGCCGCCGTCGATGCCGAGCGCGTCGAGCTTCGCGATCCACTCGCGGCGCTGCTCGGACGCGCGCCACACCACCGCGTCGCCGCGCCGCGCGAAGCGGAAGATGCTGATGAAGCGGAGCCGCGCGGGTTCGTCCGTGGGCTCGCGGAGGAGCGTCGACGCGACGGCGCCGCGGCCGACGAACGCCTCCATCGCCGACGCGATGCCGAACTGCCACAGCATGTATTCCTCGACCTTGCCGACGTCGACGACATCGGTCAACGACACGGAGAGCGGCGCGCTGTCGTCCTGGACCGGGTTCTCCACTTCGGCCTCCGCTGTGTTCTGGGCCGTCAAAATCTGCCAGCGGTCCTTGAGCTCCTGGTCATCGTTCGTGCGCATGTGCACCACGCGCGTGTGGCGTTTCTAGGCTAGGAGAGGTTAACAGCTAGAGGGCCTACCCGGGGGGTTTGCGGCACCAGGCCTCGCGGCACTGGGACTCCAAGCCTAGCCGCGACCGCCACGGGCGGTCGGGCCGGCATCGTTTCAAGTGCCACAGATTTGCCACAAGCCCAATGCACAAGCCATCCATTGTGGAGTGGAGCTCAGGCCGGCGCCTCGACTGACGGCCTCGCGCAGCGCGTCGTCGTCGTGTTCCTCGACGCCCGCCGCGCGCGACCCGACGGCGTCGACGCCTCGCCCGCGCCGCGCCTGCGCCGCGCCGCGGCGGGCGCCCGGCGCGGCCATGGCCGCCGCCGCCGACGCGCCGGCGGAGGCTCCCGCCACCTGCTACAACACGAGCCTCAGCGGCTTCCTGCGCCAGTACGGCATGACGGCGGTGGTCGTCTACGGCCTCATCTCCCTGGGCACCTTCGGCGCCGTCTACTCGGCGCTGCTCTGGGGCCTCGACGTGTCGCCGCTTCTCGCGCGTTTCGGCATGAGCTCCGTCGAGGCGGACGGGACGATCTTCCTCGTCGCCGTCGCGGTCACGAAGCTCCTCGTGCCCCTCAAGGTGCCCCTCGCCGTCTACGTCGTCGTCCAGATCTCCAAGCGCCGCCGGCAGCACGAGAAGGACGAGACGGAGCTCAGCTCGCTCCTCGACGAGGAGGAGCGGTTCAGCGAGGACGGCGACGGCGACGACGACCCGTCGGTCGCCGTCGTCTAGTCGCCGCCGTCGCCCGCCATTTTGTAATGTGATCGCTCGTCGCTACGCCCCGGGCCGCCGCGGCGACTCGTCGTTACGTCCCGGGCTAGTCGCCGCCGTCGCACTTGCCGTCGCCCGCCATTTTGTAATGTGATCGCTCGTCGCTACGTCCCGGGCCGCCGCGTCGCCGCGGCCCAGCGCGCGAGCTCGCGCGCGACGGCGGCCGGCTCCGTGAGGTGGACGTGGTGGCCGCCGCGCTCGAGCCGCGCGACGGTCGGCGACGGGAGCGCGCGGGCCCGCGCGGCGAGGTCGGCGACGAGCCGCGCGGCGTCGCGCGCGCGGCGGAGCGCCGCGGGCGCCCGGCCGCCGTTGGCGGCGGCCGCGGCCGCGGCGGCCGCGCGGAGGAGCGCGGCGGCGGCCGCCGCGGCCCAGGCCGCGAGCCGCGAGAACGGGTCGACGGCGCCGAGCCGCCGGAACATGCCGTCCCGCGCGACGAGGAGCAGCGCGGGCGCCCGCACCGCCCTGGCGAACGCGAGCGCCGCGTCCCCCGGGAGCCGGAGCCGCGTGGGCTGGAGCAGCCAGGGGTCCGCGCGCCAGACGACGCCCTCGCCGCGCGCCGCCGTGCCCCGCGCGGCCAGGACCCGCGCCTCCGCCTCGCCGAACGCGTCGTCGGGCACGACGTTCTTCCGCGCGCGCGCCGACGCGGCGGCCTCGACGGACGCGTGCTCCGCGAGCCGCCCGGACGGCGCCCTTCGGCACGCGGCGCGCAGCAGCGCCGGCGCGTCGGCCGCGGGCGCGCTCAGCACGCCCACGGACTCGAGCGCCGCGACGCGCGCGATCCGCTCGGGCCACGCGCCCGCGACGAGCAGCGCGACGCCGCCGCCGAGGCTGTGGCCCGCGACGTTGAAGCGCGCGTCCTTCCCGAAGAGAACGTCCGCGACCGCGACGGCCTCCGCCGCGTAGTCGACGACGTGGTACGCCGCGTTGCGGTGGTCCGAGAGGCCGTGGCCCGCGAGGTCCAGCAGGACGACGTCCGCGAACGACGGGTCGGACGCGAGGAGCGGCGCGAGGCGCTCGAAGGACGCGGCGTTGTCGAGCCAGCCGTGGAGGAAGATCCAGCGGCCGCCGCCGTCCTCCGCGGCGGGCCCGCCGAAGGCGTGGCGCACGCCGCGCAGCACGAGGCCCGTGCCGGGCACGGCGCACTCCACGGGCGTCGGCGTCGCCATGCGCGGCGCCGACCGCAGCGCGCGCCGCGGCGCGAGCGCGCGCGCGCCCAGCCCCGCCACGCAGCACGCCCACCTGCGAATCGTGCTCGTCGTGCTCGATGGCGGCCACCGTCTAGGGCAGGCCCAGCCCTTTGTGCGCCAAAGCCGTCAAGGGCAGGCCATCTCTGCGCTCGAGGTTCATCATGCACTTCAACATGCATACAGGCAGGTAAATATAGAACGGTACCATCCGGGGGTATTTTTTAACGGCCGCGACGCACCCATCTAGCGGCCGTGCCCTTTTGCATACCCCGGGACGAGTCAGAGATGCGTCTTTCCTGAAAAAAGCGCGTCCAACGGACATGATGGCGTCGAGATCCGAGCCCTGCGGGACTCCTGATAGTCCTACGTAGGATATATAGAACGGTACTTTCGAGGATGTAGCGCCCGGCGATGATCCGATGGCCCCAAAACCTGCTGATTTTGTGCACACGCCGAGGCGGGGGCAAGGTGCGCCCCCCGCCAAAAGAAGCACGCCCAACGGCACCGATCGCGTCGAGCATCAGTGCCACCCAGTGGCTCTAGGGCCTCCCGCTACCTATCCTAGTTAGGATATTGAGAGCCTCTAGGAGAGGCTCTGGTACTCGACACGCTCGGCGCCAAACTGCGCGGTTCTTTTGTCGGGGGCCGCATCCTGTCTCGGCCTCGGCGTGTGCGCAAAATCAGCAGGTTCTGGGACTATCGGAGCATCGCCGGGCACTCTTAATCCCCAGGGTACCGTTCTATGTATAGTACCGTTCTATATGTACCTGCCTGTACTTCGAATGCGCTGCGAACTTCGAACTACGGGGCTGCTGCGACGGTTATAGTCGGCGGCCTCTACGGCGGCTTTGGCTCGCTCGGTTCGCCGGGGCACCCCGCGAACCCCCTGGATACGCGCGCCAACCGAGCCATGTTACGGCACGTCCCCGTCGCAGTAGCCCGCGGCCGTGAGGTCGTCGACGACGTTGGAGATCACGTTGAAGGTGATGCGGTGGTGGTGGACGTAGTCGTCGTAGCACGCGCAGGCCGCGGCGCCGTCGGCGCCCGCGGGGTCCATCGCGGCGACGGCGCGGACGCGGAGCACGGCGGGCGCGAGGCGCGCGAGGCGCCGCGCCACGACGGCGTTGTGGCGCGCGACGCGCGCGTTGAGCTCGTCGCCGCCGTAGTCCGGCAGCCCAAAGTGCTTGATGGCCCAGCCCGGCGCGGGCCCGCAGACGCGCGGCGCGGGGAGCCACGCGAGCTCCGCCCAGCCGCGCGCGGCGTCGGCGACGGCCGCGACGCTGTCGGCGACGGCCGCGGCGAGCGCGTCGAGGTCCCGCGCCCGCGGCTCCGAGAGCGCGTGCATGAGCGTGTTGAAGACGACGATCGTGAGCCGCGTGCCGCGCTGCGCGGCGTGCGCGCGGAGCCGGCCGAGCGCGTCCTCGGGCAGCCTGTGCCGGAAACAACCAGTGGAACGCCCCGTCCAGCAAAAACTTCAAACCTCTCTCGGGGGGCTCACATCGAAGTCGATTCGACTGATTTTTGGACGGATCGTTTTCTCTCGGCGGGTTCTTTTCGGACAGCGAAAAAAATGTGTCAAACTCGTGCGAATACTTGCATATTAAAGTCGTGTTGAATATTTTTGTTTCCCGCCCAGCCGGCAGCTGGCCCGTCGTGTTCCAGTACGCGAAGAGGTGGCCGTCGCCCGGCAGCGCCTCGTCGCAGGCGCCGCGGACGAGCGCGTCCGGGTCGTGGTCCGCGTTGAACCTGCGCGCGGGCGTTCGGTCGTCGCCCGGCCGCGTTTTTTCGCGAGGCGCCGCGGCCGCGCGGGTTGCAGCGCCGCTTCTCCTCCGCGCGGTACACGCGGTCCGCGCGGATCCGCGCGCCCGCGGCGACGACGTCGCCGACCTCGCCGCTCCGCAGCACGTTGGCGATGCTAAAGTAGACGTGGCGCGTCACGCTGTTCCCGACGAGCGCCAGGTCCCGCGACCGCGTGCAGCGCGCCAGGGCCGCGAGCGGCGCCGGCGGCGCGCCGCCGAGGAGCGCCGACGGGTCGCAGTCCGGGTTCTCGTTGTACTTGTTTTCCAGACCGCGCGCGGGCCGCAGGAGCAGCAAGAGTGCGACCGTAGCGCGGGCGGCCATCAGGCTTAGCACATCGTGAGGGGGGCTGCCTGGAGTTTGCACGATGAGTTCGATTGCTCTTCCAAAATCCAACTCGTGCTATTTTGTGGCACTTCTCAGCGCCACACAGCGGCCAAACCCGACGCACCGTCGCACCGTCGCAAGCATGGTGCGTCGCCTTCCGCGCACCCGCGGCGCCTCCCGCCGCCCCCGCGCCTCCTCCGCGCCCTCCCGCGGCCGCCGCGCCGCGCGCGGGCCCGCGGGCCCGGCGCCGGGCCCGCCCGCCGGCCGCCACCGGCCGCGCGCGCGCCACGCGCGACGGTTCCTCCGCGCGCGGACGCGCGCGCTCACCCGCCCGCCCCCCCGCAGCCCAAGCGCCCCACCAAAACCTACGAGCGCCCCGGCCTCTCCGAGGAGGAGATCGAGGAGATCCGCGAGGCGTTCAACCTCTTCGACACGGACGGCTCCGGCACGATCGACCCCAAGGAGCTCAAGGCGGCCATGCAGTCCCTCGGCTTCGAGGCCAAGAACCAGACCATCTACCAGATGATCGGCGACATCGACAAGGACAACTCGGGCTCCATCGACTTCGAGGAGTTCCTCGACATGATGACGGCGAAGATTC